GGATGTTATGTTTAAAAGTTATAGAGACAACACACTTTCTCATTTGGGAGTAAAAGATTTGTGCCCTCCTCCAAGGAAAATGTAATACAGTGAGAGTAGAGTGAACTATAGCTGCAAAGACAGTTAAAGCTGGGAAACAAAGGGAGAAAAAAATTCAGGAGCTATATAGTTCAAGATGGTTTAGGAAATGTCCTCAGTGTCCACAGTATTCCTGGAGTATTCTGGAACCCAAGATTAAAACAAGAAATGAAATTCTAATTTCTATCAAGGTTCTACCTTGAAAAGAACCTAATTTGGCTGGCTATGGAATAGTAAGAAGACATTTCCTTTTCCCTTCTCCTGGATTTTTAATTTAGTTATAGAGCAAACAGGATCTCCCAGATTTAGGCATAAAATAACCCTAAAGAATAATCCACATGAAACTCTTAAACAAGTCAATCAAGACAGATGGAAAGGGAGGGGTAGCAGTCCATTTTTAGTTATATCTTACAGAAACACCTTAGTCCAAAAAAGTATTTTTAAAAAAAATTTTGAAAAAGATAATAGGAATACATTTTGGTTTCTAATCAAGATATTGAACTTGAACATTTTTATGGATTTTATTGGATTGGAGAACAATGCCTATATTTAGGAGCTAAGATTATAATATTTCCTAAACAATGAAAATTTACATAAGAAATTGTTGTAATTTTATATAAAAAGACCATATCATTCTTTCCTCAGAATTCTCTATACCTGAACAATATTTTACAAAGAAAGATAACAAATTCACATGTGAGGTCACATAAATGAAATTTCATATAAATAATTTGAGAATCAAACTTTATTTGAACACACAGTGAAATTAGAGCCTTTAGAACTTTGAAGAAACAGAAGTATATAATATTAGAATTTTGAAATTGCCTGTTTTCCCAAAATTCCAAAATATATATAATTATGTGTGCATGAGTCACACACACGCGTGTGCATGAGTCACACACACGCATGTGCGAGTGCGCGTATGTGCATGCATGCACATGCGCACCCACACACACACACACACACACACACACACACACACACACACACCACCAACCACACACATTAGGTGTAGGCTTTCTCTTTAATGGTCAAAGCAAGGCTACTGAAAAGTTGAATCAACAGAATTAACTACTCTTGACATTAACACCATGATTTCAGTATCTATCATGAGTCACTAACAAAAAGCTAGAAGCTTTAAAAGGCATTTCTAATATAATTTTCAAATTCCAGATAACATGAACACATTAACAATTCAAACATTATAGACATGTTAAAAGCAATAAAAAATTACTATAGTACCATTATAATCAGATATAGACTTATATCCACAGGGACACTGCTAGAATGCATCAGGGAACTTCAAACATGACACATTCTTATTGGAAAGAAAAAAAAATTACAAAGGAGAAAAAAATCCTTCCAATCACCCTACAAGGAGGACATAACAAGCATCTCCAGGCAAATGTAACACTAACTGACTATGTGAAATAAAACACTATGTTGACAAAAAGAAAATGAGAATTCTCACCTTCTTCACTTGGTGTAAGGTAATGTAACGTATCACCTGCCATAGATATCCCAGAGGAAATAGCTAACTTGAGGAACTAAAAAATATGCCTGCTGGCAGGGAGCCATATGGCATAGTACAGTGTTTTTCAAAGAATGGTCCAGGTAACACTGAATTTCTACTTCTGTCAGCAATCTACTTTTGTTTTTTATTTTTCACATATTTAATATAAAAAGTAATTCTATTTAAGAAACAATCAAATCATCCCCACCAATCCTATATAGTAAGGTGACTGGCCTTCCCAAAACTTGGGGAAATGTTTGGAGGTCTACTTTGATTTATCTCTGCACTGAGAAAGACCAAACACCAGTGACACCATATGAAAACAGAAGGAGTAAATTAATCAGTGCAATAAATAACAAACTCTCTTTCCTCACTCAGATCCCAGATGCCAAGTTTTCACCCACCCAGCAGGAAGTTGAACAAGTCTTTTTTAAAAATAGGGCCAGCCAAAGAAGAAAAACAAAGACATGAACATCAGAGATCTCCTAACTAGAAAGCCCAGTCATATGGCCCCATTTTGAAGTCAACCAAACCCATTCATGCATTGAAATCAGTTTATTATATGAACATTCTAAAATATGGATAAGCACTAAAGGTTATCAGACATCTAAGAAAAGCTTTAAACATGAAAAACAGAGACAAAATAAAAGAGAACAAAATACCTTGAAAGAAACAGACTACATAAGAAGAGTTCAAAAATTTTTTAAAAAATCAATATATTTGGAGAGAAAAAAAAAACAGGAAATAAAACGTGATGTTATAAGTAGGAATATAAGGGTAATATTTTTTAAATACTTGAAAATAAAAGTATTTTATTATACACTCGTACTTCAGGGCATGACATCATGAAATTTCAAAAATTGTTATTTAAATATTGTGTAAACTTGGAAAAAAATCACCTGAGCCCCATACAAAGATCAGAAATCAGAATGGTGTTTTGTTTTTGCATAGCAATCTTGCAAATAGAAGAAATGTAATCACTAAATCCAGGGAAAGTAAATGAGTTGGGCAAGAAGAAAAGGCCATTACTGCTAACTTTATGCTAGATTTGAACTGTACTTAAATATCACAGTATTAAAAGTAATAAATACTGATCTACCAAAATTAAAATGTAACTATTAACTTGAGACACATGAAATTCTTGTTTTGGGGGCTGGGGTTGTAGCTCAGTGGTAGGGTGCTTGCCTAGCACATGTGTGTGAGGTACTGAGTTCAGCACAACATAAAAATACATGAATAAAATAAAGGAACTGCGCCCATCCGCAACTGAAAATATATTTAAAAGAAAAAAAAAGAAATTCTTGTTTTTGTATATTAGGGAATGGAAGAGTGTGTGTGTGTGTGTGTGTGTGTGTGTGTGTGTGTGTGTGTGTGTGTCAAAAAAGAAGTGCATGGGGGTTTGGGATTGTGGCTCAGTGGTAGAGCACTTGCCTAGCATGTGTGAGGCACTGAGTTCAATCCTCAGCACCACATAAAAAATAAATAAAATAAATGTATTGGGTCCATCTACAAATAAAAAAATTTTTTAAATAAAGAAAAGAGCATGCTAAGAAAATTCTTAAAACTAAAAATTCAAGAAACAGCCAGGGACATAGCTCACTGAGAGCTTTTGCCTAGCATGTGTTAGGCCTTGGGTTCAATTCACAGTACAACAATCAATATTTTTTTTAAAAAATCAGGAAACAGTAAAATAAGTATTGTTACTTTTAAATACATGGAAATAAATATCAATATACTAGGCTAAAGATGTAAATAAAAAGGAATGGTTTATGGGAAAAGGAAACATTCTGTTTTTTCTAAAAAAAGATAGTAAATCTGCTCAATTATTTTACTTTTTTATACTACTATATATATTATGTAAGACCTATAGTAAACACTAGATGATATATACATTAAATTAGAAAAGAAGAAGAAGAGGAAGAAGAATGGAGGAGAAGAAAAGACAAGGTTCAGGGCAGAGAGTCAGATATATACCACAGGTATTTTAATGTTTCAGGAGGGTACTTTCTGGATATAAGAAAACTTTCTCTGTCATATTCTTGTAACCAGAGTGAGTTTCATTGTTCAACATTTTCTCTTTTAAGTTAGATATGAAGAATAAGACCTCAGTTCTCTTAACTTGTTCTTTGGTTAACATAATATAAATACCCTTTTCTGAATAATGTTTACTTTTTCAAATTGGTAACAACATTAATAATTCCAGAGGCTTTTAAAACTTTATTTTATAGAGACTCATTTTTAATGATTAAAAATTTTTAAAGAAGCTAAGAAATATAAGATACGAAAAATGTTTCTGTAAAACAAAACTACATATAGTCTAACCTAAGAAACTTGGAACAGGAAGGATAGGAAGGATGCATGTGTATATATGGTAGCAATAAGAAAAGAATGTACTAAGATTAAAACTACACAGTTCTAAAAATTGGTTATTTCAGATATTTCACCCTAAAACTCAAAGACTTGTTTTTGGTAGTGCTGGGGATTGAACCCAGACTTCTCTAGCCTTAGCCCTCCCTACCCCACACCAAATCCAACTCTGTATCTTGAAAAGAATATAACCTTGAATCCTTCTGCATATCATTTATGAAATGATACCACTATCCCTATATTTATTTATAATTGTAGGAATAATATTTATTAAAGATTCTCCTACACACTAAGAATTTACAGGCAAATCTCAAGTATCAAGATAATGACATATGACATACAATCTTTCTTATGTTCTCATCAGTCTTTGGAAGAAATGATAGGCCAACATTTTATAATACAAATGCAGAACTATTAATTGACATGAACAGCATTTATTTTGTCAGTATCTTTCCAAAACAAGCCAAATGCCCTGAGCATGAATAAAAACTGTAGTAAAAATCTGACAATGAATTCTTTTCCAACTTTTTAAAAGGGATGAGTCACTCCAGACCTTTAATATAATTTTATTTTCATTAAACAGTATTTAACAGCCATCTAATGCCAAGACTTTCTAAACCACTACAAAGGCAAAATCCCTGACTATAAGGTATATGCATGCTTTCCTTTATTAAGTGCTACTGTGAACCAATTAAGTATTATTCCTGACCTTGCAGTATGAAAGAAATAAGAAGATGTAATAAACAATGGGGAAAGGAGAGGAGAAAACCCTTCTTAGTGGGATTAAGTCAGAAGAAAACAACACTCTAGGAAATAAGAGAGGCTCTTTCAGAAGAGGGATTATAATCTGAGTAGTCTTTGTAGCTCTCTCTACATCCTAGCAAAGAAACTAGCAATACCTAGACTATGCCTAAAGACTGAACTATGCCAATCTTAGCACCCAAAGAAGCAACAAAGTCCAAATAATCTTTGGATTTAGCTATGCTGGATGTTGCACACAATAAAGGTCACAACCTCCCCTCTGAGGACAGCAGCTCCTCACCTGTTGTTGTACTGGTACCTGCTGTACCACTTGCGTAGGCACTGCTGCTTGACTAGCCACAGATGTCTGTAAAGTCACTGTCGAACCTGTGTCCGACCCAGTCTCTGATGTCTGCATGATGGTCTCTGAAATACATGAAAATAGAAGTAAAGTTTAAAATGTTCACCTTGCATGCTGAGCTTCATTTCATTTGTTCTTAATATCCTATTGGGGGCTGGGGATGTGGCTCAAGCGGTAGTGCGCTCGCCTGGCATGTGTGCGGCCCGGGTTCGATCCTCAGCACCACATACCAACAAAGATGTTGTGTCCGCCGAGAACTAAAAAATAATAATTAAAAATTCTCTCTCTCTCCTCTCTCACTCTCTTTAAAAAATATATATATATATATATATATCCTATTGGGAGACTTACAACTCTCAAAATACCTCCCAACCCAATATACTGCCATGACAACTCATGCATGTTTATAGTCTTTCTGACCACTTTTTAAACAAATGCAGAAAATTACTAATCCACATTTTCATTGAAAAAAATCCTCACTACCTCTTAACCTGAGATAATAAACACTGAACATCATTGAAAGCTACCATGCTAGATTTTGTTATAAATTATTTCAATCTCTTTTTTTATTTATATATGACAGCAGAATGCATTACAATTCTTATTACACATATAGAGCACAATTTTTCATATTTCTGGTTGTATACAAAGTATATTCACATCATACATCATGTGGTTTGTATAATAATTCCCATCACATTCTACCATCATTTCTAAACCCATGCCCTCTCCCTTCCCCTCCAACCCCTTTGCCCTATCTAGAATTCATCTATCCCTCCCATGTTCCCTCTCCCTATCCCACTATGTATCAACCTCCTTATATCAAAGAAAACATTCGGCATTTGGTTTTTTGGGGATTGGCTAACTTCATTTAGCATTATCTTCTCTACAGTTACCTACAAATGCCATGATTTTATTCTCTTTTATTGCTGAGTAATAATTTTACAGAATATTACTCAGCAATAAAAGAGAATATATATATATATATATATATATATATATATATGCCACATTTTTAATCCATTCATCTATTGAAGGGCATCTAGGTTGGTTCCACAGATTCAAAATTATTTCAAAATTCTCTTAACCCTCAGAACACAAGACCTAACTGGTTATAAAATGTCACAAACTATACTTTCTAGATACTTTCCTAGGTTATGTATGTAGAATAAGTAATTTCCAAGGTCCTTTCCAACTTAAAAACTTACAATTTGGTAATCTAAAAAAAGTTTACATCCAAAATCAACTGATACACACAAAACTAGCCAAAGGATCAAGTTCACTAATTTTCTCAGGCTTCCTAGCCTTGACATGTCACCCTTTTCACTACTTACACATTCAATAAAATAAACACAAATTTCCTTACTACTAAGCAGGGACCAAAATTCTAATTTTCTTTCCTGTGGTGGGAGGGACAGTATTTAATTGGTAGCCTAAGAATATTGTATCATAACTTAAATCTATAAAAAGTAGAGTGAGCATTAATTTTCCCTAAAAAAATTGTTTTTAAAAAATCTGAGTATTTAGTTCTCTCAAGGAGAAAATTAACCCCTCTCAGCATCTTTTGTCATAGCATGACCTCTTCCACTTCTTTTTCCCCAAACCTTCTATCATCTCATTCAATTTTATAAATAAACCTCTGAGGACATCAAATCTACTTTGCTTATTTTATAAAAGAAGAAACTAACACAGAGAGAAATTAAGAGATTCAGTGGTGACAGAAGATGACTTGTGACTGGGCTTTCACACTTTGAATTTGTAATTATTTTCTTTCTAGACTTTGATACTAGCATCTCTGTAGGTGATCTGAATTTTTCTTATTTTGTTAGTCAAAATCTTAAGGCAACACAATAAACCTTAGTACATTCCAAAAGTATAGCAATAATAGTATCACTGTTTAACAAGTGCTAAGGACCCTTCTAAATGCTTTACATATTAACTCATAAACAAAATCTCATATAACACAGTATAGTTAATATGAGTATAATTTCCATTTACAATCTAGAAACCTCAGGTATATAGAATACAGGAGAACAGAGGTTACAAAATTGAACAATAGTGATGAAAACTGTAGCTAATACTCCATGTATATGATTTAGCTCACTTTAACCTCCAGGATATGGTTGTTTTGTGGGAAGGCAAATCTGTAGATAATAGATCTATTTTTCCAAAAGAAGCTAAAAAATCCATATTTTTAATATGAAATCTTACAAATTGTGGCTGTTTAAAAATGTGGTAAACACACATAAACACATACACACAAACATACATACACACACACACACACACTCCTTTGGACTAGTATTAAGGATATGTCAAAAAATCCATAAGAATGGCAGTATTCACTATACAAAACCCGTACCTAATTATAATTACTAGAGGGCCAATGACTCCCAAAACTTCCAGAGAGAATACACAAATTAGGAAGCCTATCTATGCCTGCTTCTTCTTCTTTCTTCCATGATAGACTAATAGGAATAGGGGATCATCCCCCCCCCCAAAAAAAGTCAAAACCAGTGTTGATTCATTATATACTTGTAGACTACTGATAGCATTTGTGCTACAACAGAGAATCAATTAGGGAGATGAAGGCAATATTTTCTTCAAGGACTGAATCATGTATTAGATACCATCTTCTAAGAAGTTTTTGCCAGTCTCTCTTGCCAACTCCAAGATGGATGGTGGTCTTTGGCAGTTTAGTATACAGAGAAAAAAGACAGATTGACGAAAGTTATTATAATTTGCTCACGCAATTGTAGGTGAGTTTCTTACATATTCTCTCATGTTTCTTCCAGAATCTGCTGGGAAATTTGCTATGACTAGCTCTTGGGCTCATCCACTGTATTGCAGACTGGTCTACATATCATTTTTTGGTACATGACCCATATTTTGACAGCTACTATTTTAAATCAAACACATGTAAAAATGTAAAAAAGTTGTTTAAAAATTAAATGTACCCTTAAACCAATTCATACCTACTCCAAATAAACTGCCCCAGAGATTATATCAGGAAATAAAAGGCATAGACTGGATATTGACCTCCTATGGACCATATTAGACTCTACACACAGATTTTCTTTGAATGGAGTGATTACAAATCAAAATCCTTAATCCCTAATATTTAAAAATCAGAAATTTTGCATTAAAATAAAGAGTTCCAGACTTTCTTGAAAAGTGTCAAAACTTGAAAGGTGAGCTCATACTCTGTGTTTTATAGTCATGTTTTTTAAATGGCAATACTCATTCACTTGGCCCTTATACGTATTTGAGTATTATTTCTATAAATTGCAAGTAGAAAATTGCTTTTTTGGTTCAAAACAATACTGATAATATTTATACTGATTCATCTATTTATAAAGAAGAGTTAATATCCCAGCTTTTATAAAGCCATGATTTCCCTCATTTGATAGGTGAGTCAATTGAAGCTCAGAGATGTTAAGTCACTTACCCAAGGCTGCAGGGGTGCTTGACTTCTGGATGCAATTAAGAACCAATCCCCTCAGTTTTGTCTGCATTTTTTTTTTGTTATTCACAAACATAATTTCATTCTCCTGTGATTTCATTATCCTCTTTGGCTTTGAGGAAGAGCATTTCTCTGCCAAGCCTCATCCTTGAGAGGGTCTCAATCACACCCCTTCCAAAGTTTAGCTCTGAAGTTCATAAACATAATTCTTATTTAGTAAGTCTTTCCTGGTGCTTTTCTAAGGCTATCTGCTTTAAAAACATGGTCTCATTTAATCCTCAGGCGATCCCCATGATGGATCGCCCTACTTTGCAATGAGGAAACTAAGTCACAAGTAGATTTCAAAACTGAACAAAAGCTACATAACTAGAAAGAGTAAGAACCTGGATCCACCTATATCCGTCCATGATGTCAATCACTACTTACATTACTGGGTAATACCATAATCACTGGGCTTCCAAATGAAATGCTAGAGACTGTTGGTCTGAGGAGCAGTCATTTAGGTTCTAGGTCCATAGTATTTTATCTATACTTCAACAAGAGACATAGAGCCCATCTTTCTGACATCAAAGTTAAGGAAATATTTCCTCCTTTCCTACTGAGGTCATAAAAAAAAGCCAACCAATAAGCAATTTTCCATACAAATTTTAAGTGATTAATTCTTAAAACTAATAACAAAAGAGCAATAAAATGTTAAAGCGTCTTGAAGAGTACAATCTTCTCCTTAAATTTTTCTTAATGTGATTAAACTCACTGACACCTTTAAGAGTATTGGGTAGCTTTCCAACAGTTATGCAAAGTAAGGATCATCATAAGAGGGCAGTGCTAAGGAATGCTCCATTTGTGGGTTTCATTTTACTCCCAGCAGAACAGTTTATAAGTACATTCAAGGTGTTCTCTTTCATCCAGCAGTGGTTTCTGGTGCTTTGTTTATGTTTGGGAGTAATTTCATTAATTTAGTTCCTTCACAGCCTCCTTTCAAGTGATATTTGTTTATCAGCCACAAACACAGTTACATTAATCCATTTTGATAAGCTAAATAAACCCCTGCAGTTCATAGATGATACAGCCCATATGTAAATGAATTGTATATTCTTGCAGGAGACACAAGCACAATTTCAGTCTAGTCATCCTTGCCTAATGTGCCTGTCAGGTGTGTCATGAGCAACAGATGCTTGTTTGACAAAGGACCTTTTTATTCTAGCTAATTAAGCAGTTGGACACACCCGCCTGTTAATGGGTCTGCTTTGTACAGCCAGCTCTGGCTGAATCATTTGAATCTACAGCTAAATAGGCCACATTTTGAAAGAAGGCTAATTAACCCCTAGGAGAAAGAAAAGAATATTGCAAAAACCCAGCTGCTGAATGCAACAAGATTAAGCAGTTCTTCAACCTGATGGGCAAACCTAGACAAATCAATGTGTTTGGAACAAACATGCATTATTGCAAGGTTTAAGGCATTCAAATATTCTTTGAGGAACTTCCTGAAGATTATTTAATACACTCAAATTCTCAGTTGGATTTCTTTTATCATGCATAATATACATGCCAGATTAAATAGTTTAATAGTCTGACCTAATCAATTACTTATCAAACAAGACT